CCTACCCCTACCCCTACCCCGCCTCCGCCCCGGGGGGCGGCAGCCGCCCGGCATCGCCGTCCTCCGCCGGCGCCTCTCCGGGCTCGGGCTGCGGCTCGGGCTCGGGCTGCGGCTCCGGCCGCGCCTCGGGCTCGGAGCGAAGCTCCGGTTCGCACTGGGGCTCCGGCCCCGGTTCAGCGGGCGCCGCGTCGGCCATAGCGCTGCGCTCGGCTACGCTCGCTGCCGGGCGCTACCGGCGCCGCATGGGGCCGGCCCCGCTCAGGCCGCCCGGGACATGGCCCGGGGGAGGTTTAACGCCGCCGGGCCCGCCTCCCCGCGCGCGCCGCACGCGCCCGGCCCAGGCCGGGGGGGTGCACAGGGCCGGGCCGGGCCGGGCCGGGCCAGCCTGGGCCGGGGGGGAGCCTGGAGGGGCCCCGGGGGTGCGCGGGCCCGGGGGGAAGGGGGCGAGCGGAAGGATGCCGGCCCTGTGTGGCTGTGCAGTGCTGCCGCAGTTGGCGGAGGGAGATGTAAACAAACCGAAGCGGAAAGAAGTCCCTTCTTAAAGGCGCCGCGTCCCTTTTGGCAGGGGCGGCGCGGGGCCGCGCTCCCGAAGCCCGGGGGTGCGGGGGGAGGGGCACGGGACGGGGGGGGATGGGCAGCCCCCGGTCCCACTCCTGGCCCTGCCGCCCCCAGCCTCGGCGGCGAGGTCCCCTCTGCCCCTCGTTCGGGGGCCCCGCGGCCTTGGGGGGCTGGAGGGGTCTGGGGGCGCAGGGCTGGGGGAGCCATGGCGGCCCCGTGTGTGAGGGGGCAGCAGCACCGCAGCGCCCCGGCGGCACCGCGGCCTCACGGCCGGGCGGGGCCCAGCGGCGGAACCGGGCCCGAGTCAGCGCCGTGCCCCGGGAACCCGGCCGGACACACCGAGCCCGGCCCGGGAGGGGCCCGGGGGCTTCCCCAGGGCCGCCTCCGGACAGGGGCCACTGGGGGGACCCTCAGGGTGGGCACGGGGACAGCCTGGGGCGGCGGGACCAGCCGGGGCAGGGGCTGCCCGGCCCCGGGTGCCCGGCTGGCACAGCGGCCGGGCCGCAGCCGGTGCCCGCGGTCCCTCCCCCGGCAGGGCACAGGCAGCGGGGCTGAACCGAAAAGGCGACTTTAATTGAGGCAGGCTCGGTGCTGTCCCAGCCCCCGCAGGCCGGGCGGGCCGGGGCTGCTCCTGCTGCTGCTCCGGCTGTGCGTGGCGGCGGCCGCGGGGCCGGGGCCGGCCCTGGGTGCCGGTGTCGGTGTCCCGGTGTCCGTGTCCTGGTGTCCCGGTGTCCGTGTCCCGGTGTCCCGGTGTCCCGGGCCGCAGACCGTGGCTGGTGAGGCGGTTCCCGCGTGGCTCCGTGCGAAGCGGGATGGGCGAGGAGGTGGCGGTGCTGCTGGCCGTGCTCGGGGTCACCTCCTCCTGCCCGGCCAGTGGCGCAGCAGCCACTGCGTGACGAAGGGCCAGGTGGCCAGGAAGAGCAGCGTGCGCGGGGACACGCTCAGGCGCCACGGGGACACGGCCTGGCCAGGGGAAGGGGACAAAGGTGTCACAGTGACAACAAGCACCCCCCCAGCCTCTGCTGAGCCACTGCTCGGTGTGCTGCCACGTCCCTCCTGCTCTGGAGATCACACCGCCATCACAGGGTGTGTCCCCATGGATGTCACCTGCTGACCTCCCCTGGCTGTGGGGTGGGCACCCCATGGGCTGTGGGGTGGGCAGGGGGACAGCAGGGCCACCCCACAGCGCTTCCTTCAGCCCCACTCACCTGTGGAGCGAGTGCTGGGCCGGGCTCTGTCCCAGCTGCCTCCCCCTGCAAGACACGAGAGGGTTTGGGGGGTGGCTGGGGCTGGCACCCCCCTGCAGCCCCTGTGCCCGGCACCCCCTGCCAGCCGCTGTGCCCAGCACCCCCTGTGCCCTGGAAGGGGGAGGCCTGGAGAGGAACGGCCTGGAGAGGCTGTGCAGGGCTCCTGCCAGGACCCCGGGGGGAATGAGGAGAGCAGTGGGAATGAGGGGGCAGGAATGAGAGGGAAACTGGAATGAGGGGGCAGCAGGGATAAGTGGGGCAATAGGAATGAGGGTGACAAAAGGAATGAGGGCAGCAGTGGGAATGAGGGGGCATCAGGAATGAGGGGGCAGTGGGAATGAGGGGGTCAGTAGGAATAAATGGGGCAATGGGAATGAGTGGGCAGCAGGAATGAGGGGGCACTGGGAATGAGGGGGCAGGGGGAACAAGCAGGTCACTGGTAACGCGGGGGCAGTGGCAGCGAGGGGCAGCAGCTCCCTGCCCCCGGGGCCGGATCAGGCGGCACCAGGCTCGCCCCGCCAGGACCTGTCCCCGCACCGGGGCCAGCCGTGTGGCAGGGCCAGAGGGGAGCCCCGCTGTCCCGGTGCTGTCCCGGCCGTACCTGGAACACGCCGAGCGCCTCCAGCCGGCTCAGGCGCTCCCGCACCCGCCGCAGCTCCTCCTGCAGCGCCCGCACCGAGCTGCCCACGCGCGCCTCCAGCTCCGCCGGCCCCGGGCCCGCCTCGGTGCCGCTCCCGGGCTGCCCCCCGGCCAGCCGGGCACCTGCGGGCACAGCGCCGGGCACGCGGCTGGCAGGGCACGCTGGCACTGCCCCACCCGCCGGTGACGCCCGCCTGCCGTGGGCTGCCCACCCGCAGCCGCTGCCAGGCTGTCCCCAGGGCCGCGCAGCGCTGTGACACTGCAGTGCCGCGGTGCTGGCAGGGGGTGGCCAGCCCACCAACGGGGCGGGTGCGTGTGGGTCACCTGGTGACACTTGGTGACACCTGCCACCACGGGCAGGACACCCGGGGCCAGGGCAGCTCCTCCCTGGCTGCCCCCGGGCCCAGCAAAGGCCCCAGCCCAGCCTGGCAAACACCTGGATAACCCAGGACACGGCAGGACTCGCTGCCAGCCCTGGGACAGCCCAGCCCGGCCTGGGGACAAGTTCACCGCCAAGGTCAGGCAGCCCGGAAGGGAACAGTGACAGGGGAAGGGTGAGACATGGGCTGTGCCCAGGTGGGGCAATGGCACCAGTCGCACGGGTGAGGGTGGCAATGCCACCCCAGGGCAGCCCAGAATGTCTGGGCACAGCACACAGGGTGGCAGGAGGCTCCTCTGCAGTGGCACAGCTCAAGGCCTGGTGGTGCCCAGACACCTGCAGCAGTGCTGGGTGGCATCAGGTGAGTGGCACTGCTGTCCCCAAGGCCTCCAGGGCACAGGGCCCAGCTTCACCCCTGCCCTGCTGGGCAGAGCTCACCCTTGGCACCACCCACGCCCGAAGGCACCGCTGCTGTAGCTGGATGAGGGGCAGGAGCTGGGCACGGGCAGCCAGGGCCCTGCATGCCCTGCCTGGCTGCTGAAGGGCCAGCAGAGCACCCTCCACACTCAGGCAACCTAGTACCAGGGCAGGAAATGGGCAAAGGAAGGGCTGAGCTGCTGGGGCCAAGGGATGCAGACACTTGGGGCTTCCTCCAGCTCCTGACCACCCAACCAGAGGTGCTGGAGCCAAACGCAGCCCCCTGGGGGTGGTGGCAGCCCCCACGCCCCCCAGCCCAGCCCAGCCCAGCCCCTGGGAGGTGGGCAGCAGCAGGAGGGGCGCAGGGACCAGCTCTGCACCCACCTGTGTCGGAGCCCGGGGCTGGCAGGTCTGTGCTGCTGCTGCTCCCCTCGGCTCTTCTGCCTTCGCCCCGCTCGCCCTGCCCAGCGCCCGGGGGCTCCGGGGGCTCAGCCCCAGCCTGGGCCCCCTTCGGGGTGAGCCCCCGCACCTGCCCGGCCTGTGGGAGGGGAGAGAAGGGCCCTGAGACCCCCGCTCCCCTCTCGGGCAGGGAGGGCAATGCCAGGGCAGCAGTGCAGTCCTTCTCTTGTGGTGGCATTTTTGGGGTGGAGGGGGCTGAGTGAGGCTGAATCCCAGTGGTGACACCAGCCAGCATCTGGCTTGGGGGGTGACACGTGAGGGGAGTGAGGTGCCCAGAGCTGAGGTGGCAAAAGAGGGGGGGCTTCCTTCCTCCTTCCAGCAGACCCACCAGGCCTCAGCATGGCACAAGTGCCAACGTGGCAGCAAGAAGTGGCAGGGGAACAGTCCAGGTGGTGGCACCCATGTGGAGCTGCTGGTCCTGCCCAGCCCCACCAGCCCCCAGTGTCCCAGCAGAGCCTCACCACAGGAACGGGGGGCTGGGGAGCTCCTCAGCACCCCCCAGTGCCAGGGACCAGGCTCCAGGGGTGACACGAAGCACAGAGAGGTGCACGAGGGTGTCCCTGCAGGTTTTATGAGGCTCCAGGCTGGTGGTGCCATGCAGAGTGGGCAGGGCAGGGGTGGCAAAGCCTCCAGCGCTTCCTCCGTTACCTTCTCGGGCTCCATCTGCTCCAGGGTGTCACTGAACGTGTCCCCCTCAGAGTCACTGGTCACCTGGCTCCCCTCGGGGGCAGGAGCCAGCCCAGCTCCTGGAAGGGAAGCGCAGGGCTGAGCCCCGGGCAGGGCAGGGGTGCCCGGCTGTGCCCGAGGGCACAGGGGAACAGGGGATGAGCCTGCCCAGGGCGAGGCTGGAGAGGGAAACTGAGGCACTGGGGGGCAGAAGCTGCTCTGTTAACGTGGCCATGAACCCAAGGACTGAACTCCCCCTTCTGCTGCCCACGGCGGCCCCCTGGCACCCATGGGCCCTGGGCAGCAGTGGCACAGGCAGGGAGGCACTGGAGGCTGGCACGGCTGGCACACTGGCATCTCTCCGTGACCATATTTGCTCCCGGGGGAAGGCTGGAGTGGCAGCAGGAGGAGGAACCTCCCTGCAGCACCCTGCCCACCCCAGGCACAGCCAGGGGCCCTCGAGGGGGCACAGGGAGGGAGGGGGTGACTCACGAGGGGCTGAGAGAGAAAAGCCAGGGCTCAGCACTGTGACTCCCAGTGCCAAGGAAGCAGCAAACGTGGCTCGGGCCACGGGAGAACATCCCCTCATGGATCACAGACCTCGCAGGGTGGTATTTCCCAGCCCATGGGCCCCTTGTCCCTGCAGCTGAGCAGACTCTGGCCCCTTTGCACAGGCAGGGGGAGGCAGAGCCAGCCCCACAAGCCCAGGGCTGCCCCAGTGAGAGCTGGAGCCGTGACCTGGGCAGTGCCCGCAGCACCCAGGGCTGGGCAGAGCCAGCAGCTCCGTGGGGGGATGGAGCCCAGCCCTGGGTGCTCCACGGGGCTCTGCCAGCTGCTGCCCACAGCAGGGACACCAACCTGGCACGTGCTGCCCGTGCTGCTGCGGGCCAGGCCCGGAGTCTCCGGGGCTCTCTGGAGCTGGGCTGCCCGCTGTGCCACCCTGGCTGGGGCCATCCTGCTGCCCCTGGCGCTCTGCACGGAGGGAAAGGCAGAGCTGGGTCATTCTGTGGGCTCAGCCCTGCTCTCCTGGCTGGGCTGGCTCCCTGTGGCTGGGCTGGCCGTGGCAATGTCAGGCAGCAGCAGCCTCTGAGGTGCCAGCAGCTGGCAGGGAAGGAGAGGAGCCAGGTTTGTTTGCTGGCAGCCCAGGAACCCAGCTGGGCTCACCCCGTGCAGAACACCTTGCCCGGGGTGTCCCTGAGCCCCTGGGGCAGCAGGCAGAGGGGTCAGCATGGTGAGTGACAGTGACACTGCTGTCCCCTGGCAGTGCCCACAGCCCAGGGCACACCTCAGTGACAGAGCCCAAGGCAAGAGGCGCTGGCTGGAGGAGCCTTGTGTGGCCAGCAGCACCAGGACCTGGGCCAGCAGCACCCTGAGGGGACCTGACAGGCCCCAGCCCCCCCAGCACCCTGTGGAGCCCACGGGGTTAATCCCAGCCCGGTTTCCAGCAGCCCCCAGGACTTTGCTCCCTGCTCCTGGGCAGGCAGGTGTGTGGCAACGCTGCCCTGCTGCTCCTTCCCTCTCCTCTCTGCTGTCCCCAGCCTGCCCTCGGCATCACAGGGGACCCACGGAGGGGGACAAGGCAGCTGCACTGACACAGGGGGACTGCCAGGGCTGCCCTGCTCCGGGATCCTCCCAAATCCTCCTCAAATTCCCCAAATCCTCCTCCCCATCCCCAAACCCTCCTCGGGGCGTGCTGTGACCCACAGAGAGGCTCCTGTCACCTCACAGAGCACCAGGACAGACCTGGCTCCAGCCACCGCGCTCACAAGACCCTGCTGAAGCCCCACTCCCTGGAGACCTGGTGGGATCTGGGTCCATCCATGATTTGGGTTCCAAGTGCCACTTTATAACGTGTTGTCTTTGTAAATAAACAAAACCAGCCCCAGCTCTGCCCAAAAGCTGCTGGAGGCACCTGCCACGCTCTGCACTCTGAAATCTCCTTCCTGCTCCAGTTAGGAGCAACCAAAGCTGGGATTGCAGAGTCTGAAGGCGACTTTGGGAGCCTTTAGCACAAATGACTCAACACCTTGAGGAGCTCAGTGCTTTGCACCTCAGCTCCAGCCACCTCGGGCTCGTTGTTCCACCAGGTTTAGATTTAAGTGACAATGTCACCTGTAAGTGACACTCCCAAGTGGATAATGACCAGTTAGACATAGCTTTTAAATTTCAGAGAAAAACTAAGCCTGCCTTTTCAAGGGATTCAGAATTTAAACGGAGAACAAAGCACCTGGGCACCAGGGGAAGGAGCAGCTTCACACACAGCTGGCTTTGGCATCCCAAAACATCCCGTTTGGTTTTGGTGGGAAGCAGGGGCTGACAGGCACAGCACAGGTGCCTGGGGGTGAGTGGTTTGCAGGGCTCTCCACACTCGGGCTGAGCTCAGCCTGGAAGCCCCTGCTGTGCCCTGAGCCCCTCGCTGCCCAGCAGCCAGGCCAGCCCTGCTCGGGACAGCCCCAGCCCCTCCGGGCAGCAGCAGAGGCACAGCAGGGCCAGGAAGGGCTCTCCTCTGGCACAGACCCTGCAAACAATCCCAGTTCTCGAGGACTGTGTCTGCACTGCCCTCCACGCAGGAGCTGCCCGGCCTGTCCAGATGTTTCCAGCAGCTGGCACGGAGCCCTGCCAGGCACGGGCAGCACTGCCCCCGAGCCACCCCTGCCTGCCCACGGCCACCGGGGACAGAGCCCAGATCACCGGGGACAGAGCTCAGATCACCGGGGACAGAGCTCAGATCACTGCTCGGGCTTGGGGACAGAACGCCTGGGGTGTGCCACACACGGGGACAGCAGTGGTACACACGGGGACACCTCTGTCACAAAAAGGGACACCGGTGCCACACAAGGGGACAGCAGTGGCATGCACAGGGACACCACTGTCACACACAGGGACACCTCTGTCACACACAGGGACACCGGTGTGCCCTTAGGGCCCAGCGGCAGCCCGGCAGGGTGGCTGGGATGTGTCCACCTCCAGATGTTTCCAGCAGCTGGCACGGAGCCCTGCCAGGCACGGGCAGCACTGCCCCCGAGCCACCCCTGCCTGCCCACGGCCACCGGGGACAGAGCCCAGATCACCGGGGACAGAGCTCAGATCACCGGGGACAGAGCCCAGATCACCGGGGACAGAGCCCAGATCACCGCTCGGGCTTGGGGACAGAACGCCCGGGGTGTGCCACACACGGGGACAGCAGTGTCACACACGGGGACAGCGGTGCCACACACGGGGACAGCAGTGGTACACACAGGGACACCTCTGTCACAAAAAGGGACACCGGTGCCACACAAGGGGACAGCAGTGGCATGCACAGGGACACCTCTGTCACACACAGGGACACCTCTGTCACACAAGGGGACACTTCTGTCACACACAGGGACACCGGTGTGCCCTTAGGGCCCAGCGGCAGCCCGGCAGGGTGGCTGGGATGTGTCCACCCCGTGTCCCCTCGGGGACAAGCCGGTGCCGGTGCCGGTGGTCCCGGCTGGGGCACAGCGCCCCACTCACCCCCTCTCCTCTGGAAGAAGGACTCGGGGGGCCGGGGCATGTCGTGGATCACCTCGTAGAGCGGCTCGAAGTAGCGGAACATCTCCTCCGTGCTCTCGTCCATGGGCACGGTGTCGATGACCTGCGGAGGGCCGCGGCTGGGCACGGGCACGGGGCACGGGCACGGGGCACGGGCACCGGGCACGGGCACGGGCACCGGCACCGGGCACGGGCACCGGGCACGGGCATGGGCACGGGCAGCGGGGGCACAGCGCCCCACTCACCCCCTCTCCTCTGGAAGAAGGACTCGGGGGGCCGGGGCATGTCGTGGATCACCTCGTAGAGCGGCTCGAAGTAGCGGAACATCTCCTCCGTGCTCTCGTCCATGGGCACGGTGTCGATGACCTGCGGAGGGCCGCGGCTGGGCACGGGCACGGGGCACCGGGCACCGGGCACGGGCACGGGCACGGGGCACGGGCACCGGGCACGGGCACGGGCACCGGCACCGGGCACGGGCACCGGGCACGGGCATGGGCACGGGCAGCGCCGGGCCCCGTTACCTTCTGGGCCACCTTCTTCATCTCCGCCACGTACGCGGCCATCGCCTCCTCCTTGGACATCGCGCCCAGGCTGTGCCAGGCGTCCCTGCGGGGCGGAGGCCGTCAGCGGGGCCCGCCGGAGCCGCACCGGCACCGGCACTGGCACCGGGACCGCACCGGGACCAGGACCGGCACCGGCACCGGCACCGGGACAGGCACCGGCACCAGGACCGGCACCACACTGGCACCGGCACCAGGACCGGCTCCGGCACCGCACCGGGACCGGGACCGCACCGGGACCGGGACAGGCACCGGGAGCGGGACAGGCACCGGCACCAGGACCGCACCGGGACCGGCACCAGGACCGGCACCAGGGGGACCAGGACCGGCACCGGCACCGGCACCGGGACAGGCACCGGGGACCGGGACAGGCACCGGCACCAGGACCGCACCGGGACCGGCACCAGGACCGGCACCGGGAGCGGGACCCCCTTACCACTTGTAGCGGCCGATGGGGTCCCAGAAGCCGGGCCGCGGGCCCTGGCAGCGCCCCGCCGTCGCCTGCTTGTAGTAGCTGTAGAAGCGCAGCATCTCCTCGTAGGAGGGCCGGTACGCACCTGCGGGACACGGTCAGCGGGGCCGCCGCGGCGCGGCCGCCCGGGCCCCCCCCCCCCGCGCGACCGGAGCCCAGCGCGGCGCGCGCGCCCCCTGGCGGCCGGACGGGACAGAGCGAGGGGAGGGCGCCGCCTAGCGGAGACGGGAGGGACTGCAGAGAGGGGACAGAGGGACACGGACAGACTGACAGGGACAGGGATGGGGAACAGGGACAGACTGACAGGGACACGGACAGGGACAGGGACACGGACAGACTGACAGGGACAGGGGCAGACTGACAGGGACTGGGATGGGGAACAGGGACACGGACAGACTGACAGGGACAGGGACAGGGACACGGACAGGGACAGAGGGACAGGGACAGACTGACAGGGACAGGGACAGACTGACAGGGACAGGGACACGGACAGGGACAGGGACACGGCCAGGGACAGGGACAGGGGGACAGGGACAGACTGACAGGGACTGGGACAGGGACAGGGACAGAGGGACAGGGACAGACTGACAGGGACAGGGACACGGACAGGGACAGGGACAGGGACAGGGACACGGACAGGGACAGAGGGACAGGGACAGACTGACAGGGACAGGGACAGACTGACAGGGACAGGGACACGGACAGGGACAGGGACAAGGACACGGACAGGGCCAGGGCCAGAGGGACAGGGACAGGGAGAGGGACAGGGACAGGGATGGGGACAGAGGGACAGGGACAGTGGGACTGGTGGACAGGGAAAGGGGGACAGGGACTGAGGGACAGAATGACAGGGATAGGGAGAGGGACAGGGACAGATAGAGAGGGACAGCACAGTGTGACTGGGACAGAAACAGTGGGACAGGGACAGGAACAGGGACAGCAGGACAGTGGGATAGGGACAGCCAGACAGGGACAGTGGCATAGTGGGACAGGACAGTGGGACAGTGAGAGACACAGGGACAGGGGGACAATGAGAGACAGCACAGGGACAGCGCACCAGGACAGTGGAACAGGAGACAGGGACAGAAACTCTGCACCAGCAGGGGCGCACCCAGGCCGGGCATGGGGACAGAGCCCAGGGACACTGCACCGGCACAGGGGACAGGGGGACGGTGTCCGGGGACAGTGCCCAGCACCCCGGGGCAGCCAGGCTGTGCCCGGGTGTGGGACCCAGCCCTGGCACAGGGCCCTGCGCAGAGGGCAGCTCTGTGACACTGCAGGGGCACGGGGACAGGGCTGGGGTGCCACCTGGGCTGTGCACGGGGACAGGGCGGGCAGGGGGGTGCTGGGGTGTCCTGGGACCCTGGCACAGGTGCCCAGAGCAGCTGGGGCTGCCCCTGCATCCCTGGCAGTGCCCAAGGCCAGGCTGGACACTGGGGCTGGAGCATCCTGGGACAGTGGGAGGTGTCCCTGCCATGGCAGGGTGGCACTGGGTGGTGTTTTAGGTCCCTTCCCACCCAATCCAACTGGAATTCTGTGATAATCATCCAGGATTCTGGGGCCACACCTGGGGACACCGGGGCCATGCAGTGTGACACCAGGACAGTGCAGTGGGGACAGGGACAGTGGAGCCTGGGACACTGCCCTGGCACCTGGGACATGGCTCTGGGACAGTGCCACCGGGCCAGCGGGCAGGACAGGGCACAGCTGGGTCAGGCCGAGCAATTGTTAATTATTATCCAATTTTATCCCCTGTTCTTTTATTCACTGCACGCTTTTAACCACTGGTAATTATTATCCAACTTCATTAATTATGGTAATAAGGAAGGGGCAGAATTTGGGGTCCCTGAGCCCCCAGGGTGAATCCCCCCTGAACCCAGGGCTTCCTTTGAGGCAGGGACCTGTGGGGACACGGGGACACGTGTGACCTGCAGAACAAGGGACCCGGGAGGGGGGGTTCTGGGGGGCTGAGGGAGGTTTTGGGGGGCTGTGGGAGGNCGATCTTGGGCTGGTTGGTGAGGTTTTGGGGTGTGGGCCATGGGAAGTTCTGGGGTATTGTGAGAGGTTCTGGGAGCCCTGGGGGGTTCTGGGGGCTGAGGGAGGTTCTGGGGGGCTGTGGGGACCACCTGGATCCAGCCTGGCCCAGGTGCTGGGGCTGGGACCCAGAGCAGCTTTCAGCATCCCTGTGCTGGCTTCATCCTTGCCTCCCACTCGGGTTTTCCAGCCTTAACCCAGCTCCAAACCCCAAATCCAAGCGGGTCAACACCCCCCAACCCTCCCAAATCACACCCACATCGCCTGGGGAAACATTTCCTTTGCCAGCTGAAGGCGAACAGATGAAACAAAGAATTAAAAAATAATAAATACAAGCAATTAAAGCAGCGAAATGCCTTGAGGCTCGGGCCATCCCGAGCTCGGTTCCCGCTGATTCACGGCACACGTGCTGCGCTAAAAGCGGCCGGGAATGCGGCCCCGCTTCCCCCGGGATCCCTTCCAACAAACCAGCAGCGCCGGCGCCGGGAGGAGCGCCGGGATTGCTGCCAGGGCTGTTTGTCCTGCTGCTCCAGCCGCTGCTGCTGGCAATTCCTGGGAATGCAGCTCCGATGGCAGGAGGGGAGCCTGGAGCAGGGCCCGGCTGCGTGGCTTGCAAGGGAATTTTTTGGGGTGTCCCTCTGTCCCCAAAGCCTTCAGGAAGAGCTTTACCCCCCCCAAACACAGCCCAGGGGCTGCACAGATGTGCCCAGGTGTTGCAGGAGCTGCTCAGGTCTTGAACTGCAGCACTAAATGCAGTCCCAGGCTGCTCAGAGGCTGCCCAGGTGTCTCCCTGCACCTACAGATGTTGCTTTGGGGAAGCAGAGATGGTCCCAGGAGGCCCCAGTGGTGGCTCTGGGTGCCCAGATGTTGCTCAGCACACACCCAGGACGCCCAGATGTGCCCTCAGTTTATTCCCCCATCCCCCAGGGTACCCAGGTGCTGCCCCAGGTGCCCAGATGTCACCCCAGGACACTCAGGCATCACTCACCGTGCCCAGATGTTGCCCAGATGTTGCTCTCAGCCCTGGCTGCCCCGGGGCTGGCAGCACCCCTGTGGCCCTGGCACGGGCAAAGTCACCTCCTCTCCCTGTCCTGGAGCTCCTGGTCCCACAGCCCGGCCAGGCCAGGCCTCCCTGTGCCCTGGACACTCTGGGGTTGGGAAAAGCCTGAGGTGACCCTGCCCCACCTGCCCCAGCACCCTCAGTGGTGGCTGGGGGAAAACGGCCCCAGGCTGGGCCAGGGCAGCTCGGGGTGGATTCTGCAGGAATTTCCCCATGGAAAGGGATCAGGCCTTGGCACTGCCCACGGAGCTCTGGGGTGCCCAGCCTGGAGGTGCCCAAGGACCACGGGATGTGGCACTCAGTGCTCTGAGATGGGGACAGGGGGTCAGGCACAGCCTGGACTCGGTGACCCCGGGGGTCTCCCCACCCTGAACCCTTGTGGGGTCACTGTGAGCGTGGCTGCACAAACACACTCACAAACACACTCACACACACACTCACACACACACACACACTCACAAACACACACTCAACTCACACTCACACTAACACACTCACACACACACTCACACTCTCACAAATACACACTCACAATCACACACTCAACTCACACTCACACTAACACTCACACACACTCACACACACACACTCACACACACTCACACACACACTCACAAACAAACACACTCTCACTCTCACACAAACTCTCACACTCTCACAAACACACACACACAAATACTCACAAACACACACTCACTCTCACACAAACACACTCTCACACACACTCACAAACACACACAAACAAATACACACTCACAATCACACACTCAACTCACACTCACACTAACACACTCACACACACACTCACAAACAAACACACTCTCACTCTCACACAAACTCTCACACTCTCACAAACACACACACACAAATACTCACAAACACACACTCACTCTCACACAAACACACTCTCACACTCACAAACACACACTCACACACACACAAATACAAACAAACACACACATACACTCACACTCACACACTCACACAAACACACTCACTCACACTCACAAATACATATACACACACTCACTCTCACACTCATTCTCACACTCACACTCACTCTCACATGCACTCACACACACACTCACACATTCACACTCACACACACAGTCACAAACACTCACTCACTCACACACTCACACATTCACTCACACTCACTCACTCACTCACACTCACTCACTCACTCACTCACTCTCCCACTCACACGCGGGGCTCTGGCACTGTCACCTCCCAGCTGACGCCGCTGTCCCTCCCCGGCTGTCCCCCGCTGGGGACAGTCACCTGCAGCCCCCAGCGCTGCCTGCGGCCCCCAGCCCGCTGCCACCCGGCCCATGGGTGGGGACAGGGCTGGCACGGCACGAGCGGGTCCCGGTGCCCCGGGCACAGCGGGCCGGTGACCGCTGGGGCTCCCACCGGTGCCCGGTGCAGGCGGGCCCGCGGGGGCAGAGGGGACCCCCGCTCCGTCCCCGCCGGCCCTCGGGCACAGCGGGAGCGCTGCACGGAGCGAACGCCCGGGGCAGGCCGGGACCCCGGCCCGGTGCCGGTGCCGGTGCCGGTGCGGAGCGAGCCCGGCGGGGTCGGTCCCGTCCCGGGCAGCCCCGGGGCCCCGGCCGGCACAAACGGTTAACAGCGGCCGGGCTGCGGTGTGGCTCCTCCCGGTCCCTCCCCGCGGCCGGCCCCGGTCACGGCCCGGCCGCGCAGCCCCAGCCCCGACCTCCGCCACCGCCCAGCCCGGTGACACCGGGCACCGGAGCACCGGGAGCGACAGAACCGGCCGGGGCACCGGGGGCACCGGAGTCCCGGAACAGCGGGAACAGCGGCGGCAGCGGCGGGCCGGGGGCCCGGGCACCGGAGCACCGGGAGCGACAGAACCGGCCGGGGCACCGGAGCACCGGGAGCGACAGAACCGGCCGGGGCACCGGAGCACCGGAGTCCCGGAACAGCGGCGGCAGCGGCGGGCCGGGGTCCCGGTCATGATCTGCGGCAGGAGGGCGCGTCCCGCCGCCGAGCAGCTCCGCGCCCCGTCTGACGGCGCCGGTGGCTCCCGCCGGCCCGGGAGAGCCCTGAAGAAAATGGGTGAGTCGGGCAGGAACGGGGCAGAAAGCCCGGCAGGCCAGAGGGGTCCGGGAGGGATCTGCCCCCCGAAGTGAGGGGGGGACCCTTGTGACAGGAGCAGGTCCCCAGGGCAGGGGCGCCCCATGGCTGAGATGGGTCCCGGGGACGGAAGGGTGCCCCTGGCTGGGAGGGTCCCCGAGGTGGACGGGCTCCCCCACAGCAGGGAGGGGTCCCCCGGGATGGGAGGGGTCCCCACGGCCACCCCAAAATAACTGCGCATCGCCCCAGCCTTTGGGGAACAGCGGGGTCGGGGTTTGGCCCCATCACAGGTGACAGGAACCCCCTTGCTCAGGGCATTTATTGTCCCCAAGGCTCAGGTCCCACTCCCCGGGACCCTCCCCAACACCCTGCCTCAGTTTCCCCGCCGGGGCGGTGCCCTGGCAGTGGCGCACGGGGCTCACGGGTGCCCGGCGGGGCCGGGGCGTGTCCCTGGGAGCGGCCGGACCGCGGCGGGAGCACCGGGAGGGGCCGGCCTGGCCTTGCCCCCAGCTTTGGACACGGGCCGTGTGCCTGGAGCTGCTGCAGCTCCGTGTGTCCGTGTGTCCTGTGGCTGTGTGTCCTTGCACCCATCTGTCCCTGCACCTCTGTATCCACACATCCATGTGTCCATCTGTCCCTGCACCTCTGTATCCATGTGTCCATCTGTCCCTGCACCTCTGTATCCATGTGTCCATCTGTCCTTGTACCTCTATATCCATGTGTCCACGTGTCCATCTGTCCCTGTACCTCTGTATCCACACATCCATGTGTCCATCTGTCCCTGCATCCCAGCCCCTGTGTGTCCCTGCCTCCCCTGGGCTGTGTCTGGGAGCACCCCCCCTATGTCCATGCATGTCCGTGTGTCTGACTGTCCGTGCATCCCAATGCCCATGCCCCCATGTGCCCCCGTGTCCGTGTGTCCTGGCAGCAGTGCATCCATGTGGATCCATGCATCCCTGCGTCCGTGTGTCTGTCAGTGCATCCCTGAGTCCACTGTGACTCTGTGACACAGCAGCTGTGTCCGTGCACCCAGATGTGCCTGTGTCCATGCATCCGTGCACCTGTGCATGCACCTGCCTGAATGTCCCTGTGTTTGTCTGTCCTTCCATCAGCAGATCCATGGTCCACACATCCCTGCATCTCTGTATCCATCATCCACGTGTCCTTGTGTCTGTACATCCATGAACACACTGCACCCCGATGTCTGTGCATCCACACACCAGTGCCCACAGATCTGACATTCCATGTGCCCATCCCTGTGCCATGCACCTGTGTCCCTGTGTCCCTACATCCCTGCAGCCCCACGCTCCTGCAGCCCTGTCCCCACACCCCGTGCCCTCTGTCCTGCACCTTGGGCAGGATGTGACCATGCAGGGGGTGCTGGCAGCTGGTGGCTGCATGCCCGAGGCCATGGTGGCTCAGGATGTCCCCAGGAGCCCCCAAGCCACCCTTTCCCAGACCAGGGGTGGAATCTCCATCCAGAGCAGGACGTGGCCATTGGAGATCCTAGGAATGGCTGCTGAAACAATAAAGGGAGGAAATAACCACTGCGTGAAGAGATGGAAAAATCCTGGCTGAGGCGTGGGCCCACAAGTCCCCCGAGTCCACCCTGTCATTGTTCCCAGCCTGAGCTCTGCTGCTGGCACCGTCCTGGCACTCTCCATGCAGGATCTGGGCAGCTTTGCTGGGATTTAGCAGCTGAGCTGTGTCACTGCTGTGTCCTGTCCCTCTGAACAGCCACACTGTTCTCTGAAGGGGCCCAGGGCAGTGGCTTGTCCTGTCTGTCCTCTCCCGCCTGTCCTGTCCCATTCCAACCCCTTCCTGTTCCATCCCATCCCGGCCTGTTTGTTCCACCCCATCCCATCTGCCTCATCTTGTCCCTGCCCACCCTGTCCCATCCTGTCCTGTCATGTTTGTCCTGCCCACCCTGTCCCCCATCCCATCCCATCCCATCCATCCTGTCCTGTCCCATTTGTCCCGTGCCATCCCAGTGGATACAGATGTGCCCCCAGATGTGCACCAACCCCCCAGCCCGTGCCCCCCGAGCCCCCCGAGCCCCCGGTAGCCCAGGGCTGTCCCCGCAGGCCTGACGGAGGATGCGGATGTGCAGCGGATGCTGCAGGGGTCCCTGCTGTGGAAGGTGAAGGCCAGGGGGGGCTCCCGGGCGCGGCTGTTCCGCCTGCAGGAGGACGGGGTCACCGTGTGCTTCGAGGGACGCTTCCGGCGCGCCCGCGCCCCCCGGAGCTGTGAGTGCTGGCACTGTCCTCGGGGCTCGGGGACACCGGCACGCCGCCTGCACTGCCCTCGGCTGCAGGGACGGCCAGGAGCCGGGCAGGGCCCCACACCCAGCCCTGCACCAGCAAGGACTGACCCTTTTTGTCCTGCCCACCCTGTCCCATCCTGTCCTGTCATGTTTGTCCTGCCCACTCTGTCCCATCTAGTCCAGTCTGCCCCACCCCCTCCTGCCCAGTCCTGTTTGTCCCATCTTGTGCCAACTTGTCTCATCTGCATTGTCACCTTGTGTCATTCGTGTCCCACCCCACCAGGGGACACCGGCACGCCGCCTGCACTGCCCTCGGCTGCAGGGACGGCCAGGAGCCGGGCAGGGCCCCACACCCCCCCCTGCACCACCAAGGACTGACCCTTACCCAGACCCCCGCCTGGAACCCCAATCCGGGTCCTAGTCCACAGCCTTGGTGTGGGTTCCCACACAGAATCCAGATATGGACACGTCCATGTGAGACCCAGACCCCAACCCAGGACCCCCACCCGGAATCCAACCCCAACCCAGGACCCAGACCCCAACCCAGGACCCCCACCCGGAATCCAACCCCAACCCAGGACCCAGACCCCAACCCAGGACCCCCACCCGGAATCCAGACCCTACCCCAGCACCTGCACCCCCACCCAGGACCCAGATCCATTCCCAGCATCCAGAACCCCACCTGGACCCTGACCACAGCCCAGTTCCCAGACCCCCACCCAAGACCTGGATCCCCACTCAGAACCCAGACCCCCCCTGAGTTCCAGACCCCAACCCAGGACCCAGATCCCAGCCCAGGACCCAGATCCCCCAGTGAGAACCAGACCCAGTCCTGGGACATGGAGCTCCACAATCCAGAGCCCACCTGTGCCCCAGATGCCCCTGGGACCCAGATCCCTGCCTGGCTCCCCACCTGTGACCTGGACCCTGATCCCCTCCCAGGACCCTGACATTCCCCTCACTCAGACCCCAATTGAGGACCCAGCACCCAGACCCAACCCTGCACCCCAAGCCTGGGGTCCAGACCCTCACCTGAGCTATGAATCCAGCCCAGAATATGGACCCCCACCCAATACCTGAACTCCAGCACCCTTCACACAGTGGCTCCCAGAGCCCCCCAACCCTCCCAGCGCCTCCCAGTACACCCCACACGGAGCTGTCAGAGCCCCCACCCTTCCCCGTCCCCCGGGGTCAGCACAAGGTCCCGGCTCCATCCCCGCCGGGCTCCATCCCCCTCCCCGGCGTCACCCGTCTCTTTCCACCCCCATCTGGGATGGGTACCTGGAGCTGGCACGGCTGCCCGGCGGCTCCGTCCCCTGCCAGCATCCCCGTCCCCATCCCTGCAGGATCAGCGGGCTGAGCCGGACCCAGCCCGGTGCCGGGGGCAGCCGGTGTCCATCGGCAGCCAGGGTGTCTCGCAGGAGGGGTGGGTGACCCGCCGGGGGAGCGCGTCCATTGTCCCTCCGCACCCGCGTGTCCCCGCAGTCTCGGTGGCGCACGTCGAGGCCGTGAGCGCCGGCCGCCGCTCGGAGGGGCTGCGCAAGCACGGGGCCGCCTTCCCCGAGCGCCACTGCTTCACCCTGGCCTTCAAGGGCCGCCGCAAGAACCTGGACCTGGCCGCCCGCGGCGAGGAGGACGCCCGGCACTGGGTGCAGGGGCTCAGCAAGCTGATGGGGCGGCTGCAGGCCATGAGCCAGATGGAGAAGCTCGACCAGTATCCTTCACGGGCAGCTCGGGGCAGGCTGGGGACGGCTGCAGGTGACACCGGGAGGTTTCCTTAGCCCGGTGCGGTTGGATCCATGGGGTCCTGCAGCGAGCAGACAGGAACAAGGACAACAAGATGTCCTTCCGGGAGGTGAAGAGCATGCTGAGGATGCTCAACATCGACATGGACGATGGCTACGCCTCGCAGCTCTTCAAGGTACCCGTCCTGAGCTGCACCACCCACTGTGCCCACTGTTGGCTCCAGGAGGGAATTGCTGGCTCCTTCTCTGCCTTCCCCAGCACAGGGAGCTGACAAACTCCTCACCCCACAGCCACCCACTGCCGCCAAGGGCTGGGTCCCACCAGGAGCACATGGTGGAGATGGGTGAGGTGGGCTGAGCTGTCCCAGCCGCTGTTCTGTGTGTCCCCAGGGTGGGACATTTCTCCCCCGTGGAGAGCTGTTCCTCTGGGCATCTCCCAAGGTTCCTTTCCACCTAGGGACACTGAGGCACGGAGCTGTGCTCTGTTCCACCCCTGAGTGGAGGGTCAGAGGGCTCTGGCTGGGGGAACACAGGGGGCAGTAGCTGAGCCCCCCAAACCCATCCCACGCACCCTGCCCACCCCAGGGACGGGCAGAACACGGCAGGGGGTGGCTGTACCCCGTCCGCACAGGGAGGGGACGGTCCCTGAGGCTGGGCTGTGCCACAGGAGTGCGACAGCTCGGGCAACGAGCGGCTGGAGGGCCGGGAGCTGGAGGAGTTCTGCCGGCGGCTGCTGCGGCGCCCGGAGCTGGAGGAGCTGTTCGGGCGCTACTCGGGCGAGGACCGGGTCCTGTCGGCCGAGGAGCTGCAGGACTTCCTGAGGGACCAGGGCGAGGAGTGCAGCCTGCGCCAGGCCCGCGCCATCATCCGCACCTACGAGCTCAACGACAAGGGTAGGGTGGCTGTGGGGCCGTGGGGGCACTGCCGGAGCTCGTGGATGTAGGGATGGGGCTCTGATTGGTGGCATCACCCCCCCAAATGGGTACGGGGTCCTCCAAGGCTTCTGTTACTGTCCTGGTGCCCATTCCCAGTGTCTGCCATCCAACACATGGCCTGGCTGGCACCCGGTGGATGTGACACCGTGGGGACAGGGCGTGTGAAGGTGGGGATGGGCAGCAGGTGGGCTTCCACGTCTCGTGGGTGGTGTGATGCCAGCTCTGGTACGGATGTGACACTGCTGAGGGACTTCTGTCCTCCTCAGGTCCCACCAGGGCAGGTCCAGGGTGAGCACAGCACTAGGGGACATCATGGTGGGGATGAAGGACCTCCATGTCACAACAGTACCCTTAAGGTAGATGTGGCACTAGGAGGATGGAGGACATCAGATGGGAGATGGGACACAAAGGGGACCTCCCCTGAGTGCCACAGTGCCAGCTCTGGGGTGACATGGCACTGGGAGGACAAAGGGTATCAGGGTGAGGACAGGGAACCTCCACACCTCATGGTGTCACCATGACACAGCAACCTTCACACCTCAGGGGTGTCACCGTGCCATGGTGACAGGGAACCTTCACACCTCATGGGTGTCACCATGCCACAGTGACAGGGAACCTCCACACCTCAGGGGTGTCACCAGGCCACATCCAGAGTGAATGTGGCACCAGCAGGATGGGTGACATCAGGACACTTGAGGGAACTTACACGTGCCCTGGGTGCCACAGTGCCAGGTCAGGGATGAACATGGCACCTCCAGGTGGGGAAGGTCCTCAGGGTGCCAGCACCCTGTGACAGCTGCCACCGTGCCCCGCAGCCAAGCAGCAGGACCTGATGATGCTGGACGGCTTCATGATGTACCTGCTGTCGGCCGCCGGTGACATCCTCAACCAGGAGCACACCAAGGTGCACCAGGACATGAGCCAGCCCCTGAGCCACTACTTCATCTCCTCCTCGCACAACACCTACCTGACCCGCAACCAGATCGGCGGCACCAGCAGCACCGAGGCCTACGTCAGGTGCCGTCCCCGGCCCCCGAGCCCCAGAAGGTGCAGGGGGCTCTGGGGGGACGGGGACTGAGCTGGTGGCGCTGTGGTGGCAGGGCGCTGAGGGCAGGGTGCCGCTGCGTGGAGCTGGACTGCTGGGAGGGCTCGGACGGGGAGCCCGTGGTCTACCACGGCCACACGCTCACCTCCAAAATCCTCTTCCGCGACGTCATCGAGAGCATCCGCGACTCCGCCTTCGAGGTGAGGGGGGCCGCAGCCCCGGGGGTGCCCGGTGTGCGGTGCCCCGTGCCTGGTGCTGAGGGCTGCCCCTCCCCGTGCCCAGAAATCCCCCTACCCCGTCATCCTGTCCCTGGAGAACCACTGCGGGCTGGAGCAGCAGGCCACCATGGCCCGGCACATGAGGGCCATCCTGGGGGACAGGCTGCTGACACAGCCCCTGCAGGGGCAGGACCCCCACGATCTGCCCTCACCAGAGGTAAGGCCACCTGCGTGCCACCGCAGTGTCCCCATGTCCCCTCTGAACTCTGAGCTCAGACCTGCCCTCTGCAGCAGCTGAAGGAAAAGATCCTGGTGAAGGGCAAGAAGCTGCCAGAGCTGTGGCACGAGCCCCGGGGTGTCACCTCCCTTCTGCACCCCGAGGAGGAGGAAGAGGAAGAGGAGGAAGAAGAGGAGGAGAAGGGGCATGAGAGAAGCCCCCGGCGGGTAAGAGACTTCCCCAGGGATGTGGTTTTGGGGGACTACGGCATCCTGGTGTCCTGATGGATCAGAGCATCCTGGTGGTGCCAGGGGACCATGGCATCCTGGCATTGTCCCAGCTGAGCACTGCCAGCCCTGCCATGCCCTCTGCAGCCCTGCTCTCTCCTCTTTCAGTCGCTGCAGTCGCTGCAGGAGATCAAACCTCTGCAGGTGGGTGATGGGCTGGAGCTGGGGGGGCTGGCAGGGCGGGTGCTGTGGGGGCAGTGAGTGGCTGTCACTGCCTGGAGGAGGGGACAGAGCTTGGGGACCCCTCAGCTGTGCCTCCCTCTTCCTGTGGGGCTGGCTGGCCTGTGTCTGAGGTTTCCAGCACTTTGATTTCTCTGTCACCTCAAGTTCTCCATCATGTTGGGCCTGCATCACATCCAGGGTGACCTGTTGGGGTTGGCATCACCTTGGGGTGTATTCCATCATCTCGGGGTGCCCATCACCCCAGGTTCTCCAGCACTTTGGGGTCTCCCTCATCCTGGGGTCTGTAACATCCCAGGCTGTCCATCCCCTTGGGTTCTCCATGGCTGCAGGGTCTCAACCTGCTTGGGTTCCCATCAGGCCCTGGTCCACCATTCCACTGCCTCGGCTTCTGCACCACCCTGGGGCCTCCACTGCTTTGAGGGTCTCCATGGCCTTGGGGGTCTCAGCACTCAGCACTAGCAGGGAGGGGTCTGTAGACCCTGGGGCTGGCAGGTGCCACCAGGGCCAGCCTGTCCCTGGTGCCACGGTGGTTCCCGCAGGCCAAGGACGCGTCGCAGGTGTCCCCGGAGCTGTCGGCGCTGGTGGTGTACTGCCAGGCTGTCCCCTTCCCCGGGCTGGCCCAGGCCCTGCGCCACCCCCAGCCCTGCCAGATGTCCTCCTTCAGCGAGAGGAAGGCACGGAAGCTCATCAAGGAGGCAGGTGAGGGCCACCAGATGGGCACAGGATGGGCACAGGATGGGGACAGGATGGGCACAGGATGGGGACAGGATGGGCACAGGATGGGGACAGGATGGGGACAGGAGGTCCATACTCCTGAGTCACGGGGATGCAGGATGGGCTGAGCCACTCTGGGGTGGCTCCATGAGTGGTCAGGGTCACGCTGGCCTCACCCAGGCTGCCCTGGATGGGTGGGACTGGGGTCTGCTGGCAGGGCCTGCCTGGGGCCAGAGGCCAGGGCTGGGGTCACACAGCCAGGATCGAGGTCTGGATCAGGATTTAGGATGTGGCATGTGGGTCCAGGGCCTGGGGCTGGGAATAAAGTCTGGGTCAGAGTCCAGGGACTGAGGGCTGGGGTCAAGGGCTGGGGTCTGAGGTCAGGGCCTGAGATTAAGATCTGAGTCAATGTTCAGTGTCTGGGGCCAGGGTCAGTGTCTGGACTCAAGGATTAGGATCTGGGTCAGGGCATAGGCTTGGGGGGTCTTTGTTTGGAGTCTGAGGTCCAGGGTCAAGATCTGGGGTCAGGGTCTGGGTTCCATGGTCAAGGTCCAGGGTCAGGGGTATAAAGTCAAAGTGTGGGGTCAAGATCAGGATCAAGGGGCAGAGGTTTGGGGTCAGAGGTCCAAGGTCAAGGTCCAGGTTTGGGGTCTGGTCTCAGGGTCACATGTCAGGCTCAGGACAGGCTCTGTCCATGTCCTGGGGCCCATCAGCCCCTGTTGGGGCCCCCCAGCAGCTCCGGAGGGTGCAGCAGCCCCCTGAGCCGTGTCCCCCCAGGCCCGGCGCTGGTCCGCTACAACGCCCGCCAGCTGAGCCGCGTGTACCCGCTGGGGCTCAAGATGAACTCTGCCAACTACAACCCCCAGGAGATGTGGAACGCTGGCTGCCAGCTGGGTGAGACCCCCGGAGCCCCCAACCTGGCACCCTCCCCGGGGGCCGTGACCCCCTGACAGCCCGTGCTGCTGTCCCCGCAGTGGCGCTCAACTTCCAGACGCCGGGCTACGAGATGGACCTGAACGCCGGGCGCTTCCTGCCCAACGGCCGCTGCGGATACGTCCTGAAGCCCCTGTGCCTGCGCAGCCCCCCCGGGGAGGGCTCCCGCCGCCTGGCCCTGCACATCAGGGTGAGGACACCCCCGAGCTGTCCCCAGGCCTGGCTGGGTGCCGCCCACGCCCCTGCTGGGTCGCACCCGTGACATTCTGATGGCTGGCCAGGTGGCACCTGCATCTTTTCCCGGTGATGCCAACTCTGTCCCCAAATCCAGCTGGTATCAGCCATGTCCCTTCTCCGAGATGGCATCAGCCACCTCCTTCCTCCCCACCACGTCCCCAGTCCCAGCCGAGTGCCACCCACATCCCTCCTCCCGAGGACCCAGCCACATGTCACTCATGTTCCTTCTCCTGTGTGGTACCAACAATGTCCTTCCTCTTCACCCCATCCGCACTCCTGGCTGGGTGCCATCCCCTTCTGGGGACACCACCTTGTCCCCAGCCATGTGCCACCTATGTCCCTTCTCCTGGATGGCACCAGCCACCTCCCTCCTCCTCACCCCATCCGCACTCCTGGCTGGGTGCCTTTCCCCTTCTGGGGACACCACCAGCCATGTGTCCCTTCTCCTGGATGGCACCAGCCACCTCCCTCCTCCTCACCCCATCCACTCTCCTGACTGTGTCACCCATGACACATCTCCTGGGTGACACCACCCTTGTCCCCAAACCCAGCCGGTGTCAGCCACTGGGTGGCATCAGCCACCTCCCTGCTTTCACCGTGTCCCCAGCCCCAGCCAAGTGCCACTCACGTCCCTCTGGGTGCTTTCCCACACCCCATGCCCGCTGTGCCACAGGTGATCACCGCCCAGCAGCTGCCCAAGCTGCACAGGGACAAGGGCAGCTCCATCGTGGATCCCTTCGTGCGCGTGGAGATCCACGGCACCCCGGCCGACTGCGCCAAGCAGCAAACCCACCACAAGCTCAACAACGGTGAGTGCTGCCACCTGGGCACCCCCGGGGCCACCCTGGGCACCACGGGCACCTGGGCACCCCCGGGCACCCCCAGGGACACTCCAGAGCATCCCCGACCCCCAGGGATGTCCTCACAACCCAGGAATGCCCAAGGACAGCCCAGGGTCTCTTGGAGCACCCTGATCCCTGCAGACACCCCATGGAACCTCATCTCCAGGGGGGCTCCAGGACACCCTCAGGACACCCTGATCCAGGGACACCTTGATGCCAGGGGCACCCTGATCCCCATGAGGGACAGCGCCTTGGGTACCACAGCCCAGCACTCACTGCCAGTTGAACCAGTGCCCAGGACATCCCAGTGCCCAGGACACCCCAGTGCCCAGGACATCCCAGTGCCCAGGACATGCCAATCCCCCCCCCACACCACAGTGTTTCCTCCCCAGCACAGCCAGATCCCCACCCGTGGCAGGGTCCATCGTGTCCCAGTTCTCCCAGTGCTGCTCCCTCATGGTCTCCAGTAGCAAGCCCAGTTTGATGCCCATTCTCCCCAGTACGACCCCCCATTCCCCCAGTATACCCCACCATAGCCCCAGTAGAAACCACAGCCCAGCACTCACTGCCAGTTGAACCAGTGCCCAGGACATCCCAGTGCCCAGGACACCCCAGTGCCCAGGACATCCCAGTGCCCAGGACATGTCAATCCCCCCCCCTCCACACCACAGTGTCCCCTCCCCAGCACAGCCAGATCCCCACCCGTGGCAGGGTCCATCATATCCCAGTTCTCCCAGTGCTGCTCCCTCATGGTCTCCAGTAGCAAGCCCAGTTTGATGCCCATTCTCCCCAGTACGACCCCCCATTCCCCCAGTATACCCCACCACAGCCCCAGTGTCACCCCCATTCTCCCAGTACGGTCCAGCCCAGCTCCAATACAACCTCCATTCCCCCAGAATATCCCATCAGAGTCCCAGTATGATCCATCCCTCCAGTATGCTGCACCTCAGTCACTGCACAACCCCCCTTCTCCCAGTATAGCCCAGTCCAGTACCAGTTTGGCCCTTTTTTCCCCAGTATACCCCACCACGGCCCCAGTGTCACCCCCATTCCCCCAGCATGGCCCCTGTTCCCCCACCCTACCCCAGTGCAGCCACAGCAGAGCCCCTTTTCCCCAGTACACCCCATGGTGGCCCCAGCACGATCCCAGTCCCCACCATGACCCCATTCCCCAGCACGCTCCACCACAGCCCCAGTACGACCCCGTTTCCCCCAGTACACCCCAGCCCAGTCCCCACATCCGCAGTGCAGCTCAGCCGGGGCAGGGCAGTGCCGGGCTCCTGCCGGTCCCTGCACGGCCCTGGTGGCCCCGGTGGCCCCGGTGGCCGCACCCACCCCGCCGGTGCCGCAGGTTTCAACCCGCGCTGGGAGGAGACGCTGCGGTTCCAGGTGCGGGTGCCCGAGCTGGCCCTGGTGCGGTTCGTGGTGGAGGACCACGACAGCACCTCCTGCAACGACTTCGTGGGGCAGTTCACGCTGCCCCTGCCCAGCATGCGCCAAGGTGGGTGCCGCTGCCACCCCGCTGCCCCCCGGGGACGGGGACAGCCCCTGGCACCCGCTGAGCCCCCGTCTGTCCCCAGGGTACCGCCACATCCACCTGCTCTCCAGGGACGGGGCGTCCCTGTCCCCCGCCACGCTCTTCGTGCACGTTCGGTCCAAGAGCCTGTGAGGGGCCACAAGAGGGACAACCTGCAGTCCCCGAGGGGCCCAGGGGGGACATTGTGTCTGTGTGGGGGACAGCAGGCCCCTCCCTGGGTGGGCAGCCTGCGTGGGGACAGCCTGAGGACACTGCTCAGCTGTCTGTGGTGACAGCAGGGCTGGGGGAACCCCAAGGGCTGGGGGCTCCCTACCCAGTGCCACCCAGTCTGCTGGTGCCCCACTCCTGTCCTTGGACAGAGATGCTGTGACAACCAGGATGGGCTGATTGGGCCAACAGGGGTGACATGGGTGACAGCAACCACCAAATCTCACAGTCTTGGCCACGCTTGATCCCAGCCCCTTTCTTTGGGTGCAAGGATGGTGCCATCATCACCCTGGAGTCCCTGAGGGGACCCTGCCACCACACACTCCACTGTGCCCGGGTGGGGACACACTGCCAAGCTCTGCTCTGGCACCAGCGACAGTCACAGACTGACACCCCGGGATCAAGCCACTCGAATAAAGGTTTTATTTTAACAGAGCCTGTCCCAGTGTCCCTGTCACCCTCCGGGGCCCATCGTGGGTGGATCAGGGCTGAGCCCACCCCCAAATCAGCAGTGCCCTGGGGTGCCCATGGAAGCTGGGGGGATCCATTGGAGCAGCCCTCAAACCTGCCATGGGGACAGGGGGAGGGTCCCATGGGGTGTCCCCCTCCCACACCCAGCCTCCCCCAGCCCAGCACAGCACGGACACAGGAGGGGACACAGAGGTACTTGCATAGGTGACACAGGACCCCGAGCAGGGGGATGTGATGGCACTGCCAGGGGGATGGGATGGGCTCCTGGTCCCCACTGAGGCCCCACGGGTCCAGGCTGGGGCGGGCACAGGCTCTCAGGCTCCGTGGTGCCACGGGGGGTGACGGGGACACGCGAGGACAGGGAGGATGAGAGTGCATAGACGGGGTCTTGGCCTTGGTGTGCAGCTTTGGAAACCTTTGGCTGGGCAGGCAGGAGCATCTCGGAGCTCTGGGCTCGGGACAGGGCAGGAGGTGGCCGGGCCCTCCCGGAGGGATGAAGGTTGCCGTGACAACGTTCCCTTTCTCTCGGCGGATCCCACCGGGAGCTGCTGCGGAGGCACCGGGGAGGCTGGAGCCCCGGGCTGATGCTGATGGAGTATCCATATTTCCATGCTTCCAGAGAAAAGCAGCTGAGCAGAGAGGCTGGAGGTGTGGCAGTGGCAGTGGAGCACCCCCAGTGCCCCCAGCCCCCAAAGGCTGAGGGGAAGGAGCCCCAGGAGCCCCAAGGCTGTGCCAGCCACGCCCCGGAGCTTCGGGCACGGCTGCCCTCGGTCAGCGTCCAGCAGGAAGGTTGGAGTCTGGCTGGCCAGGAGGTGGGACAAGGCATCTCTTGCACAAATAGCCCTTGGAAAGGAATCTCGAGGTGCTCCCGAGCCCGGGGAGGGGCCCTGCTTAACTGAGTCAGGAGCAAACCGGGGACAAAGCCGAGCAGGGAGAGCCTGAAGCACCCTCGGGCAGGCAGGAGGGTTTGGCCAGCAGCCACCACGTTGCCACAGCATCAAGCTCAGCTGTCCCCACGGAGAAAAGTCCCAGTCCAGCAGCCCAGTGATGACCTTCAGCAGCCGAATGTAACTCATGGCAGTGGGGAACAGGAAAGATTTAAAATATATATAATATATACTTTTATTATTCACCCGTTAAATCCATTATATGCCAATCATGATCTAGTTTCAGCAGTTACATTCCCTTGATCATGTCTTTAGGAGGATGCAGTTAAATCAACAAGGAGGTGGCTGACAGCAGCGGGCGGCTCCGGTGCCCCTCTCCCGGCGTGGCTCGGCTTTGGCAGAAAGGATGAGGGCAGCACCTCCTCAGGCCCGGCTCCTCCACGCTCTCCTGGCAAGGGCTCCCTTACTGCAGCACCAATCCAACCTGGAAAGAGGGGTGAGGACAGAAATTGGGGTCAGGAGGTGTCCTCTGCTCCGTTCCCGGCCGCGCTGGGAGGGCTCGGTGCTGGCTGTGTCGTTTCCCCGCTGGTTCTGGGGAATTTGAGAGCAGCAAAGCCCTGGGTTTGTGGCTGAGTGGGCACAAGGGCCCTGCCCAGCTCTGATCTGGGGAGGTGACCAATGTTTGGGGTGTGACAAGCCCCATCAGGTTATGAGACAGCCTTGATTCATGAGCCAAGGGTGTTTGTCAGCTCATGAAGAGCAGAGGGATGGAACAGCTCTGCTGGGAAGTGGGGCTGCTCAGCCTGGAGAAGGCTGCAGGGAGGCCTCAGAGCCCCTCCAGTGCCAAAAGGGCCACCAAGAGGGACTCTGGACAAGGGTCTGGAGTGACAGGACAAGGCAATGGCTTCCCACTGCCAGAGGGCAGGGGTAGATGGGATATTGGGAAGAAATTCCTCCCTGTGAGGGCGGGGCCCTGGCACAGGGTGCCCAGAGCAGCTGGGGCTGCCCCTGGAATAGCCCCTGGATCCCTGGCAGTGCCCAAGGCCAGGTCAGACAGGGCTTGGAGCCGCCTGGGACAGTGGAAGGTGTCCCTGCCTGTGACAGAGGTGGAACAAGGCACTCAAGGTCCCTTCCAACCCAAACCATTTCATGATTCTGCGAGTTGGGAGAAGCTGCTTCCCAAGAGCCTGGTGCCCTGTCCCTGCACAGGCAGCTGGCACTGCTGGGGACCCTCCAGGACGTGCTGGTGGCCTGTCATGCACTCTGACCCCGTGGACCCCATCACAGGAACATTCCCAGCATCAGGCTCTCCCACCCCCAGTTCTCCCAGTTAAAGAAGGAATTGCTGACACCTCCTGGGGCTTCCCAGGAGGCTCAGCAGGCAGGTGAGGCTGGTTTAGGGCAAGGGCTTGTGCCCAGAGACAGACCTGGCTTCACACCAGGGAACCAAAGCCCTGTGACTGCCATCAAGGCATTAATTAGCCGTTAATTAGCTGTGATGTAGCTGGGCAGATTCTGGTTCTCGAGCACCATCCTCTGCAAGCTGGCTGTGCACTGGACAGGTGCTGGATCACTTCTCTGGAGTGGAGGGACAGCAGCAACCAGGTACTGCCTCAGAATGGTCCAGGGAAGGCAGATGGGGACCCAGCACAGCTCTGGGAGCAGGGGGGAACAGGCTGCTGGCCCTGGGGACAAACGACATCCTGGGATCCCGTGGCTCAGAGCTCCTCTGTCCCAGGTCCTGCTCCCTCTCCAGAGGGGTGGCTGCTCCTCCCACTCCACCAGGGCACACTGACATCCAGGGCTGTGCAAGGTCCCATGTGGGATCACAGGTGACTGTCACAACCCCCAGTGTCACATATGTCACCCTGCAGCCCTCTGCAGTCTCCTCTGTGCTTGGCCCCCTTCCTTAGAGGAAAGGAGTTATTGCAAGGGGAAGGACTCAACCTGCACTAATCCAGGAGTAAAATTAGCTTTGGAAGGCGAGTGTGGAGGGGTTCTCCCCAGGGACACACTCTGCAGGCAGGGAGATGGCAGTGTGGGACACTGCAAAGACACCAGCTGGGCTGGAATGCTGAGCTGTGGGTCACAGCCAACCCACGTCCCCAGGGCTGTGGCTTGAGACCCCTCCTCACAGCACTGACCTTCTCTGGTGCCATGCTGGGACACTTCCAATTGTACAGGTAATACTGCAGGTTCCCATCCCCGATGCCAAACTTCAGCTTCTCCAGGAAGGTTTTGTTTTCCATGAGATCCAGTGCATTGAAGACGTCAAATCCTTTCTGCACAGGGAGACATGAAGCCATCAGTTCCTGCTTTTGTGCTGGGGAGTTCCTCCCACCTGTGAGCAGCCTGGCCCCCCTTCCTGCCTGGCTTTGAATCCCAGAAAAAGGCAAGAGCTCAGACTTGCTGTCCTCACCTCAATCCAACTACTACAGACTGTTTGCTGTAGGACATGAGCAACCACCACAAGCTGGAAGGCTCAAGGTACCCCAGCATCCCTCTCCTGGGTGGCAGATCCTTTTGGATTTGGATTTCTGTAGATCCTGGGAACAAGCCCTTCCCACAAACCCGAGGGTGGCCAGCCTGCAGCGAGCTGCCCAGTGAGTTTCCTGGTGAGCTCCTGTGAGCTGCCCAGTGTCCCACAGTGCCAGCCCACCCCTGCATCCCTTACCTGTGGGAAATGGATTTGTAGAGAATCCTCAAAGCCTGACAAAAGGCTCACAAAGGGTAATTTGAGATGATTGCCTTTAAGGCATTTACAGCATGGTGTGGCTAAAGCTGACAACCCAAGAAACACTTATAGTGTATTGCAATTAGGAAACAACTGGCTTCTGATTGTGATGGCATGAATTACAACATCTGTATTGTCTCACCCTTCTCACGAGACTGAAAATGGAATAGAAGCTTTTTAAAACAGCTCTCAGGTGCCCCGTGTCTGGGTCAGGAGGGCTGGGAGCAGCACCCACCGACTTGGCGAGGATGAGCGCGTCGCTCATGAGGTCGATGAGAGGCGTCTTGGTGTGCACGTTGTAGAAGGAGTAAGCAGCTTTCAGGCTCTTGTGAGTTGGGTGGTTCATGATGGTGGAGGGCAGGGTGTAAAAGCTCAGGAAGTCTGTCACCTCTCCTGGGGCACTCTGGAAGGCAGAAGGGACATCATGACACGTCTGGCTGGGATAAAGCCTGGCCAGAGCCTTAGAGGGGCTCTCCAAGCATGGAAGCACCATCCTCCAGCAAATTCCCATCCTGGAGGGGCATGGAGCTCCTCCCTGATTGCTCCCACAGCTCCAGCAGAGGCAAAAGCCCAGGAAAACACCCCTCCCATCCTGCTCCTGCTCTCACCTCCACCACGAAGGTGTCGATGATGTTCTCCTGAGGGACAAACCAGTGCTCCACCTCCTCTCTGCTCATCACGGGTGTCAGGTGGAACTGCTTCAGGTACTCAGTCAAGAGCTTGTGCACAGCAGGGATGTCCTTGTGCTCCATGGGCCGCAGGCCGGGAGTCTTGGGAGTCTGCAGAAAGTGGGACAAGTTGTTTTGTAGCTTGCACAGTGGTTTTCATCACCCAAGGGCTCCAATGAGCAGCACAGAGACACTCTCTGCTTACATCAGCCCATTTTCAGCCCCCCAGCCCTGTGTGCCCAGCAAAGGATGGATGTGATCTGCTGTGACACCGATGGCAAAGATCACAGAGAGCACAGCATGTCCCAAAGCCCCAAGTGCCAGGTCAGGTCCCACT